TCTCTCTCTCTCTCTCTTAATATTTATAGTAGGTTAAAAGACATGAGGACAGGAGAGTTGCTCATGTCACCTTCAAAACTGTAGGTAAGTTAATCTTGCATCTTTAATGGGAAAAATTCTAGACTGATAAATTAAGCTTTAGAAAATCATATAGTGAAATATATCATGCACGAAAGCCATCATAAAAATAATAAAATACATAGACAAGAATGGTCCATCTAGGCCATCCCATCCACTACAAATTAATTAATTTAAGACAAAACAACAAAAACTCAAATCCAACCCTTATCATTCAAGTATTTATCAAACCTTCCCTTAAATTTCCTGCTTTTACCACATCTGAAGGAAACACATTCCAAATATCAACTACCCTGTTAGAAAAATATAACTGTTTTTGCTGAAGATAACTCCTACCATGCCAAAAATTTGGTACCCTAGTTCTACCATTCTCACCATTAAGCATGAAAAAACATAATACATTGACACTAGCAATTCCCTTAACCTTAAAACTTCTCAATCACATACCTTATAACTCTTCTTTTTTAAAGAGAAAAGAATATCCTAGATCTTAACATGTTCTCACCTGGCAACCTTTACATTCCAGGCATCATCCTCACAGCCCTCCTCTGAACCCTTCCCAACAATTCATTGTCCTTTCTAAAGTAAGGAGCCCCAGACTGAATACAATACTCCAAAGTGACCAAGCCAGTAAGTGATCTACACAATGAAGTTATAACCTCTTTAGACTTGTATTAAATATTTCTGTAAATACAACCTAAAATCTTATTTGCTCTACCACAAGAAATAACACTATTCAGATGGCTTGAAAGACTGATCAACCAGAACACCATGATGTTTGTCTTCTATAACACTGTTAAAGTTATTCCCATCAAAATTATATCTATAATTCAAATTATGATAACCCACTTGCATTACTTTGCATCTATTATAAATAAAACCTATGTGTCATTTATTTGCTGGACTTGCCAAATGACCAAAGCAGCATCCTCCTCCTCATACCCAAATAACACCCAAGATCTTAATACCTATGTGACTGACTAAAATAAAAAAAGAGCAAAAGATCTTAACACTGAGCCCTGAGGCACCCAAGTTGTGCCATTAATCCACTTTTATTGAACTCCATTTATGACAACACAATGCTTACTTACATCCATTTTTCATTCCAATTAGTCAACTTATCCCAAAAACCTAAAGAGATAATTTTTAATAGACCTTTTACATGGAACCTTGTTCAATGCTCCGTGAAAATCCAGATACACCAAATTTACATCCTTACCCTCTTTTACATAAGCAGTAACTTCTTCAAAGAATTTCAAAATATTAGTAAGAAAAGATTTTCCACTAGTGAAACCAAGTTTACTATCCAGCAAAATTTTAAGCTTTGTTAAATGACTTTGCAAGGAATCTTTTATCAAACTTGCAAAACCTTTTCACACACTGATGTAAGGCTAATAGGGCTATAGTTACCAAGACAATTTTTATCACCTCCCTTGAAAAGGTCACAGACTCAAACAGTTTCCTTCCCCATTATACGACTATGGTAGGTTCATAACCTACCATCAACAGCTGATAACACAGGTCTATTTCATTGTGCCTTGGCAGCCAAGAGCTATTGCTGATATATAGAATCACCAAAGGAAAATCTTATCTTAGTAATCTGTTATCTTTCCTCGAGAATATTATCTATTACCTGGATGAAGGGTGTGGGACTTCAAATAATTACATTTTCAAAACATTCTGATAAGGTGCTACACCAAGGATTAGCTAAGAAAATTACATCAATAGAGGTTGGAGAAAGACTACTTAATTAGACTGTAAGGTGATTGGATCAGAGAAAGCTAAAGGTTTTCTTAAAAAGTCCAGTCTTGTGATTAGTGGAGTACCTCAGGAGACAGGCCTTTGCTCTTTCTTATTTACATTAATTACATTGGTAGGAGCATAATTACTAAATTAGTAAGATTTTCTGATGATGTTAAACTCTTGGGTATCTCTAGCTGTATTGAGGATGTTGAGATACTACAAAATTACTTGCATAAATTGGTAAAATAGACAAATATTTGGCATGTGACTTTTAATTATAATAAGGGCAAAGTATTGCAAGTGGGTTATCATAATTTAGATCGCACATTTAATATAGATGAGAACCAACTAAATAGCAAGACTGTAAAAAAAGATTTTGTGATAGTGGTCACTGGTGGATAAGTCATTCTAGCCATCAAAGCAGTGCTCTGTTGCTAGTTGTAAAGCTAACAGAATTTTAGGGTGTATTTACAAACACAAATTACAAGACAAAAGATGTATCTCTTTATACAAATCAGTAGGCCTCAGTTGAAACACTATGTACAGTTTTGGTCTCCTTATCTAAGACAATATATTGACTTGCCAGAAAGGGTTCAGAAGAGGACTACTAGGATGATTCCCACAGAAGGAAAGTTATCTTACATGGGTAAGTTAAGACCTTGGAAGTTCCTATTCTCCAGTAAGACACTATTGTCTTATAAAACGAGTTACTGTCAGCTGGACAACTAGTGGAATTTGATAATCGATTACGTTCAACTACTTGATTATTCTCACGATACTTGGATAGTTGGAATAATCAAAAACAGTAATAATCAGAAACACTAATTTCAGTTAGTTGCTTATTTTTATGAGTTATGGCACTAATCAACTGAGCTGATGAAATTTAAAAGTAATTAAAGTAATAACGAAAAATCATAATGGCAATATTTTAATTACATGCATATTTTGGCTAATAAAAACAGTAAAAATTAGAAAGAATAACATTCATTAATTGATTATTTTCATGAGATTAACTGCTTTAATCATAATTTTGATTAATCAATTATTTTATGTGAAAACAATTGATGTCATCAATTAATTGCCCAGCTCTTACTAGTAGTTAAGACCAGTTTTACAACTGTTTAAAAGAAGTGATTCCCTGAAATGTAGAAACTGAGTTTAAAATTATGTAAACTGCAGATGTTTTTCTAGAAGTTTCTCTAACTTGAGCATTTTGGATTGAAAATCACAGGAGTGTAGAAATAGCATTTCAGGTCTATCTTTTGTTTCTCACAGGTCACTGCCCAAGAGGTCTTTCATTCAATACCAGAAATCATCAGCTGGGCTGAATAATGAGAGACAAAAGCTTCTTTGATTTTGAATCTGAAATGGACAAATTAAGAATGTGATAAAAAAAAACATTTGCAGTTTATGTGACTTTTATTACCAATTTTAGACCTATTGGTTTCTAATGCTTTTAAAGGGTGGGTTTAAATACTTACTTTTTTCTGAAGGACAAGGCCAGCCTTGAAGACTCAAGTAGTCCCTTACTGTTTGTAGTTTTACAGTTTAGTATTAAATTAATACAGTTTTCTCAAGAGCTAGGAAGATTAATTCTATTTCTACAGCTAAATATGAAAATAAACTGAGCAAAATATTCTTAAAGCTTGGGGTTGCCAAATGTCTCATACATATATATATATATATACTTGTAGAATGATTTGCTTGTCAATGAGGTGCATTGATAGTTATAATTCAAATGCTTTGTAAAATAGTATCTATTTTAATAAACGTTTTCACAAGCTGGCCATGATAACAATCCCCACAACCTCAACAAATTCAGCCTCTTTCACTGAAAACACTTTCTCAACACAAAAGCCTGTCATTTTAACAAATTGCCATAAACTTCTAGTATTAGTACAAAAGAAAAAGAAAAAAAAGTTACTTTCAATTTACCTAGAAGCATTCAAAAATTTATTACACTATCCCTTTTGGTAAAGGAAATCAATCACCACTAATGATACTAAATGCATCTAAATTCACTGGTTTTATAAAAAAGAAACTTTTCCATAGTTTCTACCAGTAGACAATCTATTCTCTTTACAACCTGAAATTTACCACAAAGTCCAGTTCATGATTTCCTCAAATAAATATTTCTGTAAATCTAATACCAGAATCTTCTACTATGAAAGTAATTTCACACAAATTGAGAAAGTACCAGAGCTTACCGAATACAGGCTTAATGCTGATTAATTAATGTTTCATAATGTTGTTTTGAACAATTGGATTTCTCTGGAACTGTGTTAAATATATACAAATCATTGTAGAACTGTGCTGCTATTACAGTACAATTATCATTCAGTTCAAAATTTGATGCACATTCACCTCATAATAAGACAATCAAATATTTGCTCTAGGTGACTGTGAAGAAGAAAATTTAAGGGTAGATGTATGTAATACTAGTCATGCTGTCACTTACAAACCTGTCACTATAGTGGAAACTAAATCACTATAGAATAGATAAAGCACAACTACAGAATGTGATGTTGATTAAACTAACACTGCATGTGCTATTATATCATAAAGGAAACTTTGCCCTACTACTCTCTTCAGTTTTGTTAATTTTGAGAATAGTGTGTGTTTGTATATATATTTTAATTATTAATTTGTCTATGTCGTGGGTTTTAAAAAAACAGACAAGATAATGCATTTTCCAGGGTTTTAGAGGTAAGTGAAGACAGACATGTTAGTCTCTCTTTCATATTTGATAGTTCAGTAGATAGTGAACAGCTTCCTGAGGATTTTTGAGTTACTCTGAAAATTCCTTATAAGCCAATTAGTTTTACTTCTGTAATGGAAATAATTTGATTGGCTAATAAAAAATCTGCAAAATCATTTGATGAAATATGATGTCACACAACACATCTCACTATTGATTCCCTATAAGGAAATCTTATGTTACTAGTCTTTTAACTTTTTTAAAGATATTACTTATGTGGTAAAATGGTACAGACTTGGTTTACTTAAATTTTCATAAGGCTCTTGATAAAGTGCCACATAGAAGATTGACTTTGAAAATCACATCAGTAGGAGTTGTGGAAAGACTTAATAACTGAATTTTTAGTTGGATAAGTGAGAGAAAGCTAAAAAATTGTAGGGCTGTGTTCAAAGGTTTGTTTGCTAGCCAGGAATTTGAAGATTGTTATAAACATTCAGTGGTTCATCAGGTAGCATTCAAACAAGGTCAGATTTCTTTTTTTCTCTTATTAAAAGAAGCTGCTTGGCAATGTCTGAATAGTAATCAGACACACAATGTCACTCATTGATCATCTAACTTAGATAATGTATATATAAATATAATGTATACTGTATATAGCTACACGAATGTTTCATGTAGCATCAAATACATGTGCATAAACAATGTGATTTTTTTTTTTACTTTAGATATAAAACTATTATTATTCTTCTATATAATGTATTTGCAAACCACAAGTGAATATTTTATTTCATTCATATGGTTTATCTGTAAAATAAAAGGGCTTGCGATCAAATATAAACTAGTTATGGTTACATCATTGATAAATTGTGCAAATTAGTACTATTTAAGGTTAGAAACTTCATTCTCTAACATGCACTGAACCTTCAAAAGTCAAGATCTACCCTTCTTTACAGCCCTAAAAAGTTTAGTTAATAATACAGCCCAGTCAGTAAGAGGTCAAAGCTTGGAACTCCACCTTTTCTTATTTGCACTAGAGGCATGGTTGAGTGGGTCATAATTGGTAAAATCTGCCGATGGTATTAAATCTTGGGTATTCCTACGTGTATTTAGGATGTTGATGAGGTACTAGAGAATGATTTGGATCAATTAGTAAGTCAAACCAATAGTTGGCAAGTGACCTTTAATTATAATAAATGAAAGGTATGTATCATAACATATCGCACATGTAATATAGATGGAATCCATTCAACAACAAAACCAAAACAAAAAGACTATCTAGTGGTACATAAATACTCAAGTCACTGACTGAGGCAATGCACTGTTGAAAATAGTAAAGCATGTATAGTTTTAGTACATATTTATAGACATAATGGTTAATAAAAAAAGGTAATTATTTCTATATAGATCACTAGTTAGGCCTCATTTGAAATACTGTGTACAGTTTTGGTCTTCTTATCTAAGAACAAATATTGACTTGTTGGAAAGGATTCAAAGGAGGGCTACTAGGTTGATCCTTGGGATGGGTAATTTTATTAGGAATAGATTATGATATCAAATTAATTTTTCTTTATAAAAGAAGGTTAAGATGTGATCTTATTGAAGTTTACAAGATTATTCGAAGGTAGGTTTATTTTTTACTCTTTTTCTTGGGATGGGTGTGCAAGAGCAGCCAAGAAGGATCATATAGTTTCTTGTTGTATGCAGGTTTTGTGTTAACATTACTCGATCAAGTTTATTCACAGATAAAATGGTGCCTCTCGAAAAGAGAAAGCTCAAATGTCTATCTACTCATGCTATTTATTCAAATAACACTCCTTTCCACAAACTCAAAATTCCTTATGTATAAGATTATTTTCACAAACTGCACTAAATTCCAAACAAACACGAAACATTAAGCATAAAAAAAGAGAGGAATGTAGCAGAAAATCATTATTCTAACTAAAGAAGCTCATTTTGTGATATTTATATTAATAAAAGTAATATTCACATTCAAGGAGTAATAAATTTTATGGTAAACACAACTGTTAAATATATATTCAAACATAAAGCTTGATATTTCTTTGCATATAACAAGTATAATGAACTCATTCATAATTTAGCACCTTAAGATAGCACTGCCCCTTAAAACTGGGCAAATTTACATGCTGAGAAAACACTGTTAAACACTTCTTATAACCTTCAAGTTGAGCACAAAACACAAGTATGATGTTGCAACCTCTGCAAGTACACTTTCAGTCATATATATATAATTAATATGGCAGGGATAAAGAAATACATAACATAAACTGTTTTACCATCATAACTTCACTTAGGAATGAAAAAAAATGTGAAAATTGATATGCATGCTCTTTTTGAACATCCTGATAGCTTGAATTAAAAACTCTGAAAATTTTCTGTAATGTTAATTAGCTATGGGTAATTAATTTCAATTAATGCCTCCATTAGTGGTAATTGTACTCATAACAAGACAATTGATAAAGATTTTTGAATTTTAAAAGATTCAAGCTAAGGAAGAGTGTAATATCAACAAGTATACTAAATTTCATGCTGATATTGGCTTTAATTAATGGTGAAGTCATCATGCTAATAAACTGGTGACCCCAGTGAAAACTGCATTTTGAGAAAATAGCCGTTAAAAGAATAATGAGTTATTTAAGTAGAAAAGAGGTTTAATTTTGATTTAGGTTAAATTTGAAAAATGTGATTTTTGAAATACTGGGGCAGTCTTTAAGGGTCAGTGCTACCTTAAGTAAGGATTAACCAATATGTACCGAGTCAGTGCGAGATAGCACGCTATTCCAACAGTAATGGGGATTTGGAAGAGAAGGCTTGATAATGAGTCATATGACCAATGGCCAAATGATAGTAGTAAAACCTCAAATTCTAATTGTTGCATAATCAATCTAGATATGAATGTTCATGTTCTAGACACTAGGAGTAAAACTGTGAGGATTAATGACATAACACTGAGAACTAGGTAGATGTGTGTGATGTACATACGATGTAATTCTCACTTGCATCAACTGTGAGGGCTAACAAGAACAGCATAACAATTAACATTTAGAGAGTTAAATTTAACTCTTACTCTTCGTAGTATTTTAAAACCTCAGGCCTTTGACAAATTTATTTTTAATGAAGCGTGTAGCCTAATCTTTTCTTCACTCTCTTTTTATATTTATATATAGGTAGATTATTCACTTCAATTTCATATATAAATTATATAATATTGGTTCAAGAAATGGTTTAGAATGTGGTACATAGTGCTTAGTTAGTTAGTGGTGTAAATTGGGATAAGATTTAGTGGTTTAACGGTCAGTCACTGTAAATGTAACAGAATTTTTAAGTTAATATGAAAATAATAAATATCAGATTATCATTTCTTAAAGGCATTTACAACTAAAACTAGTTCACATTTTCAGCCTGCTGAGACCGAGTTTGTAACTTAAATACTCTAGATTCCAAGTGTTTACACAATGCTAAACAGTGATTCTGATTGTGGGATATACACCCCACAGGGGGCAATTTGAAAATGCTACAATAAGAAAAAAATTTCATTTGGGTGTAAAATTTTGGTA